ACAGGGCATGAGAAACGATGCGGTCGACGGCAGGTGATGGTAAAGACTTGGTACGAATGGTGGTCAGCTTCTCTTGAAGTGTGGTTTGGTAATGGTCGATCAGGACCTGCGTAACCTTAGAGAGCCATGTCCGATTGAGGGATCTAATATTCGCGTCAACAGCTGATGTTTTCATTGCTGGGCGGATAAAACTATCCAACTCAGAGACTTTGCGTTTGAAGGTAAACGCTGGTTGGCCTTGCTGTTGAAGGGTAAGGATTGCCAAATGATGGAGGCACTGCAAAACTTGGAAGAACACCTTCACAAAGGGTTCTTCCTCCTTATGAGTGGGGACTGGTTGGCGTCGGTGGGCTGGTAGTCGTTTCTTTGCCCGCAGCGCCCGCAAGCCCACCAAACAAACAACCCCACCAGTCAGTTCCTATGTTTGATCATTTTAAATTGTTGAATTTCTTTTTCAGTTGTTCCCATGATTCCCTTCTACAGAAAGAATAATTGATAGAAAAACAAATTCCATAGCCCTTATTCCATCAAAATAGCTTTCTTGTTTCAACATATATAACCAGTCCACGCTTTATGTTTACAAAAATTAATTGTGGTCTGAAATAAAAAAATTTTCCAAAGAACAGTCACCTCGCTTTAATAAAGGGAAGGAAGTGTTGATAAAAAACAGACCACATCTATCGAATAATTTTGAAACCATTGCCTTTTTTTTGTTTTCTAATCTTTTATTTCGCATTTCTCTTATATGTTGTAATTCTTTCAACTCGTTAGATCTTTTCACTGCATCGCTTATATTTACTCCTACTTTTGCTACAGATCGAAGAGCTTGCGCTCCAGATGAAATGGGGGATTTGTTGTTTGAGACAAAGCTGGCTACTTTTGGGATGAGAGATGATAGAGCTGAGAAGAAACCGTCTCCTTCGAATTTGTGTTGTTCGTGTTTTAAAATTAAACTTATTCTGTTTTTAAATGAGTTAATTTAATGATATTATTGGCCTGGGGCGCTTGGGGGTTGGTAAACTTGTTCCCCTATAGGCTCCGGATTTATTAACTGGGTGCCTGGTGGGGTTGTTTGTTTGGTGGGCTTGCGGGCAAAAGAGTAGTATAAGAGTATATAGATAGGAAGCACTTTTGTATAATTCTAAAAAAAAATCACTTTTTGACGTTAGGAATAAAAATGGTCAAACTTGGTCAATAAGAGTATATATTCATCAAAGGTGTCTGTCTACTGTATCCAAAAGACTAAACACTTTTTCAATGTTAGCCCCTAACCTGCATTACCGACGCGAGACCGGGTTGATAAATCTGTAGTTATTATCTCGACCCAGGTCAGAATTCAATATTTCTAGTAAGTAATTGTGACATAATTCACTTAACTTTTCAATATTAACAGTGATGAAATTTAACTGGAAGAGATTGTAAAGAAGTTTTCTAAACTTTATATATATTGGAGAAACTAATAGCATCGATTTACACGATTCCAATTTTCATTCCAACATCTGTTGTTCTTCTAGTTACACTTGAAACGTTAAGACTATCTTTTTACAATCGCTTTAAAGTTATTGTTGGAATGTCACTGCGGTTGTGGGTGTGATACATCAGTACTAATCACTACATCATGCATGATGGAACACTGGACACTTCTAAGAGAGAAAAGCAACTTATGTCATACAAATTCATGATCAGAATATATTATAACACTAAAAATAAAGGCTTTAATAAATTAAAATCAAGATGTCAAACAGAGGACTGCATTAAAAAAATCTAGTATCAATCTTGTTATTGCAAACATCATGTCAATGCTTATGTTTTCAATAGAATGGGATCAGTTGCGTAGCGAGAATCTGTTTATTACAGGAAAACAATCTTGTATACTATCATGATATAATATTTCTAGCCTTACCATTTGTTGACACTGGATTTGCATGTTTGCAACATCTACAGTGCACCTCTTTGTGTTCCTCTAACCTAACTTGCACAGACAATGGTGGTTCAGCACTCTTGTTTTCAGCGACACTAGTTTCACATTCGACGGTTTCATTTAGATCTTGTTCAGGGCTTGACACAGTTGCTGGGACTACTTCGCCACTTTGAGGGGAATTTTGTCGATTATTTCTATGAGAATACATTTTAACTATATTAAAGCTTCTGAACTTGTTGTGTCTTCAATTCTGCAAATGGGGCTTAGAAGAAAATGGCAGAGGGAAAATTATAAGGGAGGGGTTATTATACATAAACATATAGGGAGAGGCTTATTGTAATACATTAACCCGTAAGACAAATGAAGGAGGCAAAACAACCCGATAATGATTGAGGTTCGGTGGGGTATTAAGCCCAGATGTAAACTTTGTACATAGTAATAGTAATATATTTGTTATATTTTATCTCGTGATATAGGCTAGAGTCGCAGACGTAATATTTAATATGAATCTCTATTATGGAGAGAAGACAAAACTAACCGATAAAGTCATTGTGCTAGAATGATATAGGCCTGTTATATACACACAATCTAAGCCCTGCCGAGACAATTAGTCATATGTGTGACACAATACCGGTATTTATTGTTTTAGTTGCCTAATCTTATATATAGTTTATTTAATTTAGACCTACACTATGAACATAAACAGTATTAAATTATTAAAATAATGTTCGGGATAAGGTCATAATATAACTACAGAGACACCTGGACAGACAGAATGGCGCCACATACTACTACAGTCTCAAAGAGATCAGAGGATTATATTGTGGAATTCCCAAACTTCAGTTTTATACAGTTGTGGAATCAGTCACAGTGTTTGTTATTGTTTCAGTGAATCCGTAGTCTACATATTTAATTCTCATGAATATTAATAAGCTTGCAGCTAATTGACAGACGAGCAAAACAAAAAGAACGAGAATAAATTTTATTGTATTACCGTTTTAACAAAAACATTTGTTACTCTTTTGGCAGAACCGTTACCGTTTTGCCCTTTAGCCTCGCCTTCAGTTATTTTGTTTTTACCGTTTGGACTGGACAGACTTTAATCAATTCAAGCCTATGCCCTAGTCTATCATAACTTTTGGAAACTTTAGAACAAATGAATCCGACGTGAACAAATAGCTAACTGTCCGATACTGGCGATAGGCCTGATCAAATAAGGTTAGCTAGCTTTCAATTTACATACCTTTCGTTTGCTTCGAACTGCATTTCTGATTCAGCGACGCTTCACACTCGTAGATGGTGACTTTTCGACAGGCCTTTTTGGTTCGGGAAGGAAGCCTAAGTTATATTTGACGATACTCTTCGAGTAGTCATCAAAAGACTTAAAATGTTTACTACAAACACGGGCTTGGGGATTCTTGGGCTCTGGTCGGGCACATTTGGCAAGCCACTGCCGCCGGATATGCTTTCTTCGCTTACCAGTTGGTAAAAGGTGAAATTGTGCTTTTCGTGGATTGTTCCTATCCGAATTTGTACAATGCTTGGCGATACAGTAGGGCATGTAGAGATGTAACGGCGATAGGCCTAGAGTCCGTATGATTTAAGTCAATATGGCGCCATTCTCGGAATACGCACATTTTGCGTCACTTCCGCTCAAATAAATCACGTGACTCGTCAAAATGGCTGCGGCCAGGTGTTTGATGCTATTTTGTTAATTAATCGGCTTAAAAATATTGATTACATCGTCAGAAACTCCCGATAATTTCCTGGTAGATTGTACTATATATATTTTAAAGAATTACGTTCATTCATTTTTGGGTATCATGAGACTTGTTCCCTTTAAGGGATCTGTGCGTCGTGCTACGTCATCTTTGGATAGTCTCATTGGTCAATTACGAGCTGTATTCGGAGATAGGGAGAAATGTTCGGTATGGAATGAAGACTTGGGCTTAGGTAATCTTATGGTAGCTGCTGTCATTAAGCGTCATTTGGAGGCTACCAGGATCAACCAAAATTTGGCTTTGGTAACATCGAAGCCAGCTAGACAGTTATTCTTATACAAAATTTTGAAACTGTCCTGATATTTGAAATTCCAGTTTTCAAATCCCAGACTTTCTCTCAGAGAATTGTATTTGCTTCAGAGGGATAATATGTTTTATTTCACGTCTGATGGTAGGGAAGTCCATCCAGGGTAACCCGCGTGTAATTGTGATTTTGAATAGCAATAGTGATGAGATATACCCATTGCGTGGTATAACCGAGTATGTGGATTGGTGTGAGAGTTAAGACTTGAGTCTGCAGTCAGTGTATCTGTTTCGGGCGACTAGATCCATAAAGTGAAGTGATCCATGATGCGGGAGGGGGGTGCTATGTCCCTAAAGTTTGTGAGCATGTTCATAGGAAGTCGTCTAGAATGCTGGGCAGATATACCGCTGCTTTAACTCTTGTGGAAAATAGACATTGCTTTGATTAATTTCAGCCTTATATTGAGAAAGAGTTGGAGGATTTAAGGAAAACAGTAGAAAGGCAACTAAAATGTCAAGATGAAAAATCAAAAGAATATGGAAGTAGGACATTTGACCTCAATCCCGATGTATTTCGTCAGAAATTGATAACATTGGAACAGATGCTATAATTGTAATGAGATGGACCATATTTCTAGATATTATCCAGCAAAGGAGTAAATTCATTTTTTGTTTCTCATAGACGTTCGATGTTTGTTTAATTACAAGAATATCCTATATGGTCATACCATGGATACTCTTCAACATCCTTCGATAGAGGAAGTGACTAAAAAAGGTTTAAAATGTAAAAGGTAAAATTTGATCCCTTTCAGGAGTACTGAGGAATCTAAAGCGGATAATTTACATAATTTCCTTTCAGAATGGGAGCTGGTTACAATCCAGATGGCATTGATATTTAAGATGTTATCAAAAACAGAGTAGATATCTTTCATTATGTTCTAATAATATTCTATTTTTTTTCCGCCTTCAAACCCGTACAGCCAAGAGAATTTTAATTTCAAGGAAATGCCCTTGAATAATCTTAAAATAGCCTGCTCAACGCATTTTGATTGTCGACGAGGGCATGCGATGTACTTGTCTCAAATAAAGGGCTATCCTGTAACAACATAAACCAGATACAGCACAGAAAGGACAAGGTAAGGCAATTGTAAGTTACTGAAGTTGTGAACACTGTCACTATTATGTTCTAAATTAGCTTTCAAACTTTAACTGTCATAAATATTTGGTGTGACTGGATGTAAGAGTGAATGTAACCTAATTCAGTATAGTTAGAACTTGTTAATCGGGACTGTGATCTGATTGAGCATGACGGGATGGGAAAAGCGTGCATAGTGAAGTGAAAATGGCGTGGATGTTGCCGTCTCTGACTTGGCGGTCAGCATATCGGTTTTTACCATATTTGTCATAAACATATTATTGTATCATTGTGAATCGTGTAATATTGTTACTGTGAACCTTCGTGATCATGTGAGCTTTGTACTTATATAGTGTCAATTGTTATTTTGTGAGCCTTTCCATGTTAAACTGGATTCGTGAATATATAGTGAACGGGAATAATTGAGTGTGAAATTGGATTCTCATAAACCATAAGTATTTTCACTGACATTTCTTTATTTCATCATATTTTAATGTACTATTCTTATCTGAACAATATACAATTCATTTTCATAGAACATTCTTAATTATTTGGGTAAAAATGGATAATTTGCAAGACTCCCATCAAGGTTGTCTCCAATGGCGCCAATGTATGACCTTTGAACTTGAACATTCTCATGAAGCAGGATACAATAGTTGAATATGAGGTGCGTAACAAACGGTGTGCAGTCTCAAAAACCGCCAGTGCAGAGCAGTAAACGCTGCAACCAACAGTCACTATAACACTAGAAATGGCGATGGAAGAAAAACCCACTGAAACGTGATAGGCTAGTGTGCGTACATTTAGACTGTTAAGTAGAAGAACATGGTCCCAGAGTAGCAGAGGTTTCCCAGGCTTCAGTCTTCTTCCTAGTGATACCTGTCAAACTTTCATTATTGTACACTGCTACTAGTTACTACTAGGAACTAGGCTAGGCCAAGTGGAGCTCATAGATATCATTGACATTGGTCCAATAGCCGATTTGCCATTTATCAATATCGTAAGCGATTTTATTTTCATTGTCGCAAGCGACATACCGGAAGTTTACTCAACACCGGACAAACATTGGCGCCTTAACGTCGTCGATTGGCGGCAACATCCATTGGTGGCAGGCGGTTAATTTGACTTTTCCAACACACTTTTGATAGAAATGCCAGTAAAACATTGTTGCCATGGTACCTGCAATAGCGATTCAAGATATGTACGTCGAGAAATGGATGGTGTGTTTTTTATTCCGTTCCCTAAGCCAAAGACTCAAAGGGAGAAGTGTGAACGGCTCTGTGGAAGGAAACACTTTACTATCGAGAATGTTAGGAAGGAAACCTACATTTGCAGCAAGCATTTCATCGGAAATGGGCCAACGTGTGAACACACAGACCCTCTACCCGCATCGGCAACTGACCTGGAACTGAAAATTTTGAGTAATAAGAAGAAGAGAAAAGCTCCAAAGGAAAGAGTAAGATTACCAACAAAGTTGTCCAGAACACAACATTTCGACGAACCAAACACTGACAACACCCAGGAATCTAGACCTGCTCCTATTAACATCAACAATGAACACTCTTACAGTAAACCTGATGATGAATCAACTGGCAGTGAAGAGTTTATAGGCTTACTACACTACTTAGACAGTGATGAATTTTTTGTGACAAGAGAAGATTTGACCAGTGTCACCGGTAAGTGATGTTATGAATAAGATATGAATAAACCTTCCATCAATATAGAGCTCCCAAAAGGCCCAAGAATCCTGTGCACCAATACCCACCTCCTTGTTATTAATGTAATAGGTTGGCTACACTAGGCCTGATAAATACATGATTCAAAAGTTGATCAAGCTCACATATAATATAAGAGTGTTCTTTTTTGTTATAATCATTTGATTTTGAATTAAAACTGCATTTTTTTTTCTCTACAGAGGAGACTGTATGTGCCAGTACCGGTACCAATGATGGCTTCAACTCTAACAATAGCAGTAGTATAATTGAAAAGAAGAGCATTGGAGTACAGACAGACATTGCATATAATGACCTAAAGGAATATTCCACATCAGGTTTAAAAGACAAGAAACAGCTGAGAAGAAATTTATTTGTGGAGTGTGTTTTAAAGGATGATGAATCTTGTAAATTTTATATTGGTGAGTTAAAAATTTTGATTTTAACTTTAATTAAGTAAAACTTACTAAAAGAAATAACATTTATAGCTGGATATTTGTGTTTCAAGTGGTACCGATAATTGTATAAAATATCAAGGTTTAGTGCACGTGTCCATTTTTTTCAGGACTAACATTGTCTTTGTTTGGACTTTTATTTACGTGGTTACGAAGTAAAGCAGAAAGACTTAATTATTGGAAGGCACAAGACACTACAGAAATAGAGTGTAAGTAGACATTTTTTTAGAATTAAAATATTGTTTCATATGTATGCGTATAATCTTAGGTATGTGTACAAAAATTTTTATGGGATCATTATATTTATACAATATATTGGATTATTTAATGAAGATGTGATGAGGAAAATACTGTTACTGTTCCTTACCTCTCCCTTGCATGTCAAAGTTGTGCCTCTGTATATTCGAAATATTGTCATTTTCATTACATTTTCTCATATTTCTAACTTCAGAATCAGAGAACGGGCCCAAAGAGGAAGTTGGCTGTAAAGGAGGAACTATTGATGGTACTTATTCGTTTGAGAAGAGGGTTTGATATAGATGTAGTTAGTGATCTAATGGGAATTCACTCATCAAATGTTAGCAGAATTTTTACAACTTGGATAAACTTTTTATATTTGGAATTACAGTTTTTGATATCATGGCCTTCAAAGGAGCAAGTAAGGAAAAACCTACCGCAACAATTTAAACATTTTCCTAAAACTGTATCCATAATAGACTGTACAGAATTTTTTGTCCAGAAACCCAGTATTCCATCATCTCAACGCATAACATGGTCGCAATATAAGCACAATAATACCTTGAAAGCTTTATTTGCCATTACGCCCACAGGATCCTTCTGTTTTATTTCAAAATTATTTACTGGTAGTATATCAGATAAACGTATTGTGGAAGAAAGTGGGTTTTTGGACAACTTAAAACATGGCGATGACATCATGGCAGACAGAAGATTTTTAATCATAGATTTACTTGCAAGACGATCTGCAACCTTGAACATTCCCCCCTTTTCTATGGGAAAGCAACTCTCCACCAAGGCAGTTACAAAGACACGGCGTATTGCTAGTGTAAGGATTCACGTGGAGAGAGCTATTGGGCGATTGAAAACCTTTAAACTTCCTCAAGGAATTATGCCACTAAAACTACACCCTCTGTTTGATCAAATGATTTTTGTTTGTGCTTCACTCTGCAATATGGACTTTAGACTTGTAAAGTAATATTAAGTAAGCCTTATTTTATTCAACTCATGAATTCCACATTTTTTATGTTGATTAATCTTTAAGTTGTACTACAGGAAGGAAAACAAGTAATATACATGTATAATTCTCATTATTTATTATTGTCCATGAATATTGCATGCATTCAAGTATTGTGTTAATTTATTATTATAATTTTATGAAACTGTTCTACTTCTATATTTAAGGAATGAATGTGGAA